CGAAACTTACCGTGACTACTGTTCGCTTTATCATACATTCATTTACCCAGGCTTTCTTTGCCAGGCTTATATACTAAAAAAGAGGGCATCTCGAACAAACTCGGGCTTACCCGATAATTCATCATCATTCGAGAAATTCATCACGTGTTACCAGAGTCATGTGACTTCCGCTATCGTAACAATACATTAATTACGAATAGGAGTAGGTAGTTCAGTGATCGAGAACTGAGAAAAGTATTTAGTGTGTAAAAGATTAAGAGAAGATTGATCTAGTAAAGTTATACAGTAAGAGTTATTGTTTCTGTAACCTAATCATTAAGTTTGCCAGCATTTCTTATCAATCAGAAAAAAATCAAACAATATTAATGGACTATCTCTGCCCGTCCCGTCAGAAGATTACTGACTGGAGTTTTGAAAACAACACCCGCTCCTTCAGAAAAACAATCAGGCATCGAGGAAATAAAAACAATTTTCAAGTACATTTTAAAACATCAATAGGAATGGTACAACTTGAATAAAAATGACTCATAATATAAACGTTACACATACACACAAATTGACAGTTGGCTTATATATATATATATTAGGCTAGTTATCTGGGGTAGTAATAAACACATTTTAACTCTAGGCAGTAGGAATCCGAGGCCTCACTAACATATTGTTACGTCTCCGTTTGTTAATTGATTTTCCGTAACTTCGTTCCGACGAAACTTTAGCGACACAAGTCCTTTCTTAATAAAACTGGTTTATTATTTCCGAATACAACTTTACAATACACTTATTTTCAACAGTCGCTCTATAATAAACGCTATATCAACGAACGTTAACTTCAACAATACTTTCTGACTGCAGTTCAATTACTCACTACCTACACACATTGTTTCCGTCACGTTGTGACCATCTTATATATACACCAGACAAACATATATCTAGTAAATGCTAGGGCATTCACAAAGGAACAAGATACTTCTAGAAAATAGGTGGCGTGCCACTAGTCAACCTCGCTGACGCAACAATACTGTTACGTCTCTGGTCGTTTGTTAATTTTCCGTAAAAATTCTTTCTGAAGAACTTCAGCGATACAAGTCATTTCCTAAATAAAACTAATTTTTTTTTGTCAATACAACTTTGCAATACACTTAATTTCTACAGTCACTTTAACTTGAACACACGCTATAATTCACAACGATTCACGCACTTTACTTACGACTTGACTCGATTATCTGTCTCTATATCTCCCTGTCTGCAATTATATCTTCGCTTTATTTGCCGGACTTATATACAAAAATAGAGGGCGTCTAGCAAATACTGGATTATTCGTGATGTTCCCGATCCTTCTAGAAACTCATCACGTGTTACCAGCGTCACGTGACTTACGCTGTCGTAACACTACCCCTTCCTTAGTATTGTTCGTCTCGAACAATAGCCACTTACATTAAAACAATATATAATTAACAATAACTTAATTAAATAAACAGAATTTACAAACACAATATTAAAATTCAACAACGTCTCTTAATTTTAGGGATGTATCTTCTTCCGTACTGGTCTCCGTCTCCTTGGCTTCTGCTTTACGTGGGGTTCATGTGCTCCATCAGGAAATGTCCTATTATCGGTAACAGTCACATCAGTGGTAGTAATTTCATCAAGGGCTTCACTGTTTCCCTTCTCAAAACCGGGTAGAGTTTCTTCTTCGACAGTGGCTTTTTCAGGTGACACGTCTTCAGCAGCGTCATTTGTCCTGTTGTTTACTTCATTCCAACTGAAATGTCCTGGACTGTGATAACACCAAAGCCTGTTGGCATGCACCACCTTTGGCTTACCTCGCCGACTATATTTTATTTGGAAAGTCACGTCTTAGAGACGATCCACTATGTCATACGGGCCTTCCCATGGAGAAAACAACTTAGGAGACTTCCCTTTGGTCTTCCTGGGATTATACAACCACACCTTGTCTCCTGGTACAAAGCTGGCTTCAGTAGATCTCTTATAACATAGCTTCATCGAATCAGCAGACGTTTTCAAGTTTGAACGCACTTGATGGTGAATATCATCCATCCTTTCTGATAACACTTTCACAAAATCTGACACATTTT